GTTCAGCCAGTCTTCTACATCTTCATACGAGTCGCCATGAAATACTGGTGGCTGGTGAGGTTGATTGGCTGGTGAGGCTCTAAAAATGAAGGACGTTTCGAAGTGGTAAGGAAGAATCCTGGGATAGGCAAAAATTAGGTGTATGCACTAAGGGATAAGGAAGGCAAAGTAACTACCAATATGGATAGGATATTTAAAATAGAGGAGGAGTTTTACAGAGATCTGTACAGTAGCCGGCACAACTACGACCTTAATGTAAGAACTAGCAGTATCCCAGATGGCATCCCCCAAGTAATGATAGAAAAAGTCAGAAAAGCCTTGAAAAAGTTCATGCCTATCACAGCGTGCACTAACAATTTTAAGTATTCCTTTTTTCCTCGCACTATAACCGACTGAAATAACCTTCCGCATGAAATTCTTTGATCCGATAATGTGCTGAAATCTATTGATCAAATATTTGACTTGCAATTTTGTATTATTAATTCAGTGTTATTTGCTTATTGTTTTTACCTCACCAAAGATTGTATAATTGATCTAACGTCTCTGTAACACTCCCTCTCCTGCTTGGGCCCAATTGTGGCCTGCAGTAATAATAAATAAAATAAATAAAATAGAGGGAATGCAAAGAGGCAAAGCTCCTTGTGAGGATCGGGTAACAGCAGATCTACTGAAAGGCGAATGACAGATTGGGCTAAAAAGACTAGCCACCCTGTTTACAAAGTGTCTCCTGACGGGAAGAGTACCAGTATCTTGGAAGAATGCTAACATCATCTTAACACATAAGAAAGGAGATGACAAAAACTTGAAGAATTATAGGCCGATCAGCTTGCTCTCCGTCGTATACAAGCTACTGACAAAGGTAATCATTAACAGAATTAAGACAGCATTAGAATTCAACCAACCAAAGGAACAATCAGGAGTTCGAACAGGCTACTCAACAATCGACCACATTCAAACTGTCAATCAGGTAATACAGTCAAACCCCGCTACAACAAAACTGACGGGGCGGGGACAAAATTTGGTTGAAGCGAAAATTTCGTTGTAGTGAAAAATATATATATATATATAGCTTATCTGAGCTAGCAAAACAAAGGAACATTTATTTTCAAAATTCAAAAAATGTCTCCTGCTTCCTATTTTTTCCCAGCAGCATCACGACCTAATTCTCACCCATGCAGAGGCCATGGTGAAAAGCATGCTGAAACAACGCCTAAAGCTGCCTTCGTGAATGAAAGCTGCTTTAGGCAAAAAGAGTGTAAGGCAGGAGGATACAATCTCCCCAATGCTATTTACCATGTGCTTACAGGAGGTTTTCAGAGGCCTAGAATGGGAAGAGTTAGGGATAAGAGTTAATGGAGAGTACCTTAGTAACCTGCGCTTTGCGGATGACATTGCAATGCTGATTAATTCAGGGGACGAATTGCAGCTCATGATTACCGAGTTAGACAAGGGGAGCACAAAGGTAGGTCTTAAAAAAATGAATAAGCATAAAACAAAGGTAATGTACAACAACCTCGAAAGAGAGCAGCGCTTTGAGATTGGTAGTAGTACACTTAAAGTTGTAAAAGACTACGTCTACTTAGGACAGGTAATAACCGCAGAGCTGAATCAGGAGATTGAAGTTACTAGAACAATAAGAATTGGGTGGAGCACTCTTGGCAAGTATATTAAATCCTGGATAGTAATGTGTCACTAACCCTCAAGAGGAAGGTATATAACAGCTGCTTCTTGCCGGTACTTAGCTATCGAGCAGAAACATAGAGGCTTACAAAAAGAGTTCAGCTTATATTGAGCGCGATGCAGCGATCGATATAAAGGAAAATAAGTGTAACCTTAAGAGACAAGAAAAGAGCAGAGTGGATCAGGGAACAAACCAGGGTTAAGGACATCATAGTTGAAATCAAGAAGAGAAGATGGACATGGGCCGGGCATGTAGCATGTAGGCAAGATAACCTCTAGTCATTAAGGGTAACTGACTGGATTCCCGGAGAATACAAGCGGGTTAGGGGAGACAAAGTTAGGTGGGCAGATGAGATTAGGAAGATCACGAGTACAAATTGGTAGCAGCAAGCGCAGGACCAAGTTTACTGGCGGATCATGGGAAAGATCTTTGTCCTGCAGTGGAAGCAGTCCATAATTTAATACGAATGCACTCCGAAAAGTGAAGTAACAATGCAGCGATGAAAACCTTCAATCTGGCAGCCCCTTCGATATCTAGAGCATTGATGCTTATATGAACTTCAATGAGCTCGATTGTTTCATGAGTAACCTGAGTATACATAACGCTACCTCAATGTTTCTTTTAAGGGTGGCTGAATGCTGTCGTGCCAGTTTTCCATTATTTTTAAAATGCTGAAAGGCTGTCTTGTTTCAATAGCATGCTTAACAGTTACTGTGCGCCAGTTTATACCACATCTGAAGGCTTAAAATACCAGGAATTCGAGCCGAAGGCACACGTCCAGCTCCCAGGAACGAACTTTATGCCTTTAGCCTCAACACAAGCATGTTAGAATTGACACATGTAAATATAGCCCATCCTATTTCTTCTTTTTGGCGTACTTCATGGCGCCAGAACGGTGATTGATGTGACAACATTAGCATACATGCTCTCGATTACTGCATATATTAGAACAATATCAGTTGTCAATATTCCCACTCCCGGCTTTGCCAGCCACTCAAGTCTTCTTCCTGACCTCGCATCATCAATTGATTTTGCTTCATTTTGTGAGTTCTTGACAGCACAAGCACAGATGACGGGTTGTAGCCGACAAGCGCGAAATCCTGATACATCGCTTAGCGCCGACGTTGCACGCGTGCCTTACATACAAAAAATAAGTGGCGAGGAGACATCATCGGCAAGAAGGGAAGTGAAGGCGAGAACGGAACAGATGGAAACGTGGTGGATCATTTGATTCTTCCAACAGAGGAACTCTACAGCCTAGACGATGCAGCTGCCCTGCAAAACTGCGTGCATGATTCGACGGTTGAATTTTTCTTTCACTAGTAACTATATGAAAACTTTGGACAGGTTAATCTCGTTGCCATCCTTTTCCATATGAAGTCCATGTAGGGCAGCACGAGTGGCCGCAAGCCGGCACGATGAATAGACGATGAGCGCCAGTGGCTCACGGTGAGAGGCGCTTAGGAAATTCAGGTGCTTTTGGCCAGCTGGACAACACGGCCACCGCTCCGTGTCCGCGTCTTGTATCCATCCTCAGCTGTATGCTTTCGTCCTCTCAATAAACTTGCGACGATGGCACTTTTGCGTCACTCACCTTCACGTAGCTACATTCAAACCGCTACTATCACTCTACGCTTAAGTTCTGTCCGCGAGTAAAAGCTCGCGAGTGTTGCCAAGGAAGACTGCTAAAGCAGAGATTAAAAAAGCGGACCATCTCCGTCGCCTAGAGAGGGCATGCGGTTACATTATCTTGCTTGCCAGACCCGCCATCGCTTGCTCCTCAAGAGGAAAGGAAACATCCTGCTTGTATTTACAAAACGGAGTTTTTTGTGCCAACAGAGGTGAGGGTACAACTAGCAATAGAACTATATTTCATTGGCTGCCTTGTTTGTCAAATCATGTACAATTGAAACCCGCAATAACGAAATTGGCAGGGAAATCAAATGTTTAGTTTTTGCAGGAATTTTGTTTGCATGAGAATGCTGCAAAAGAGACGGGGAATCCATTAGCAACACATTTGATAGCCAAAAGCTTAGATCGCCGAGTGTTTTCCTGGAGCACCTTCATAGCTCTTGACCTGCATTGTAAAAAGTGGTCCATTGCCACGTTGGTCATTGTGCTCATGAAGAACCGAGCGAGTTGTGTCAAATCAGACTAAACGAGGGCTAAACAGTTCATGCCGCACCAAGCACGGATCGTGACTGCTACTGCTCTACACACGCGACCATGGGAGGCAGCAGCGGATGCGCAATACCCATAACGCACAAAACTCTATGTGGACGTGAATTTGGCTACGTAGTCCGCAATTACAAGTTAGCATAACAACCACGTATTTCCACATCGAAATATGAACACGTGGCCACTGCAAAGTCTCCTCGGATTCTCGTGATTTGCTTTCTAAATTTGTGGCTGGTGGTGCTAATTGAATGCATTTATGCTACGGACACTCTGCAGTCACCCATACCGATGAGAAAATCATCATCATCATTGTCACCAGCTTTTTTTTTTATTTCTTTTGTTAACAATAGTGGTGGCAGCTGCTTAAGTGTGCTGAGTGAATAGTTTTAGACAATTTAAATGTTTCACAAATCAATGTGAGCACTTTTTGAATGCACGTAATGTTACGGGAGTAGACTGGGCATTCTCGTTTCAAACATTTCGTAAATGAGGGACTGCAGTAATCTATGTTTCGTACTCCCGAGTTAAGAAATGCATAGACTCGTATGGGTATTCACCGGTGCTCCGAATCGTTGCATTGGGCTCGTTAAGCTAGCACGCTCCGAACTCTGAAAAAGCACACCCGAGTGCGCTCGGGTGCAGCACCTGCAGCGGAGTGGTTCAGAGCTTAACTTAACCGCAATTTCAGCCGACTGCCTTTGGGGGCCCGACAGCGTGGTGGCGGCAGTGTGGCCGTTAGGCGGCAGTAAGAACGAGTGGGGGAAAAAAGCCGGAAGCACGTTATTGTGGTTTTTCCGGTAGTCACACTAGGCGCACGCTCTCGTGCACCGTCTCAGTCGGAGAGCTTAGAGCGTGCTCCGTTATTACGCATTGGAAGTCTCTTTTTAACCGTTAAGTTTACAGGAGTGCACTCCGCTGGCTGTACATTAACGATATCTGCAAAATTACAGAACACTGTACGTTCACTATTTAGTTCGATGTGGTACATGGGCAGCATGTAAGCCATTGCTCGTGATGGTCCAAAAATGGGGCTCTTAGTAATTAGGTTTACAATATAGCCTTTTCAGTGCCTTTGTGATGTCAAGTGCACCTGTTCAGGTACATTCTAGACCACCTTAATTGATGCTCCCATCTGTTGCAGTGATCCTAACTGGTGGAAGGGCTCCAACCACCGAGGAGAGGGCCTTTTTCCCGCAAACTTTGTCACTGCAGACCTTGAAGAAGGTGGGCCTCTTTTCACTTTAGGCCATTCTGGGCATGACCGCCCATTGGTATCTGTGTAGCATTACGGCATTTTTAAAGAAATTGTAGCTGTTAAATGGCTGCATTGAAAAGAGGATTTATGGCAAAACCTTGTAGATTTTGGTGTTTTTCTTTGTTGGTTTTCACTTTGTCATCTTGTGCTGCAGTTTCCTAAGCAGTACTGGTTGGTTTCGTGCACTGCCAAATCTGAATGCAGACAAATAGCTACCGGCCCTCTTCCACCTGGGTTTTTAAACACATTAACTTTTTAAATACCTTGAAGATTTTCAGACAGGGCGGCTCTGACCACATGTCTGAATGTTGCCAAACACCATACAACGAGGAATAGGTAATTTGCAGTGTTGTCAAAAAAATATCAGAAATGACTTGCTCTGTCACAATGTCATCACCAGCTATGTAGGAAGCCAACAGATATTGGTCAATATTGTGATCACGTTTGGGAAGATAAGTAATACTTTTATAGTCAAGCCCATTTATAACGAACTCGAAAGTGTCATTATAAGCAGTAGAAAGAAAGTGTCATTATATCAGTAGTTCGTTGTTCAGTTAAACTCCTTTATAAGAGACATGCTCCGTGCAGCAATTCTTGTTTTTTATATGACATGTCTCTTATAAGCAGGGTACCACGTATGCATTTTCTTATCAACTTGTATTTTACTGTAGGCACACTCGTCTCTTTTATACCCTTTCTCTTATATCAGTGTCTCTTATAAAGGGGCTCAACTGTATATGGATTCTCTCATAAGAATGTGCACTTAATGACTGAATAGTTTTTTTTTTCTACGACTATTCTTAATAAAGAGTGCTGACAACTCTGGTGACAAATTGGGCCTTTTGCATATGTCAAGCGACGCTCGCTGTGTACTCACGAGGGAATTAAACCACATTCGTAATGAACTGGCGCTGTTCCCTTGAAGCGCAGTACTGCCACGTGGAAGCAATCATCCCTGGCTAGTTGTGTGCAGCATGTCGCTTACCCGGCTCTCACACTCAGCTACCGGGCCATGTGCACTCTTAAATGTATACATGCATTTGTGTGTTCTTGATGCATGCTTCACTCCTGCAGCGAGTAGCTTGTTAGTTCAACACGATGAATACATGCATTTTGCAAGCAATGTGCATGCGGCCTTGCACAACACGGTGGCAGCGAACTTGTGGAAATACTGGACCTGTTTCTGCCCCATCTCTCAGCATGGTTTTAACATGCGCTTCCAAGTACATGCGCTGTATTCATAGCCATCTGATAACTGCAGATGGCTATGATAAGGTTGTTGGCGATGAGTCGAAACGGCATGTACACTGCTTCGTACTACTTTGCCTTAGTTCTTTTTTGAGGCTTATTCGTTGAAGCACCGCTGAAACAGTGCAGAAGTCGTTAGCATTCATTGACCGTTTTGGGCTATTACCGAAAGATGGAAGACCCTTTATAGCACATTATGACAGAGGAAAGTTGAGCATCGCAACAAACCGAAATCTGGGCGTGGTTCTCGTCCCTGTCCACAACATCTTTGTTGCAAGTAAACTGTCGCGAAGCATGCGGGAGCAAGTGCCTCGCATGCTTTAGAGTGCCTCTTGTAATTTTTATCCGCTTCATAAGTGCCATATTTTTATCCAGGCTGTGTTGGAAGTGTTGGTTGTGAAAGTGGGAAGCCGTAAAAAATGTTCACTATTTGTGGTTGCAGTTTCAATGAGTAGCATAGGAAAATCGTAGGTGGACCAAAACATTATTGTTACAACTGATAGATTGCTATATCTGGGATCGTTTCAAGTGTCTTTGACTGTAGTTTTAAACCTCAATGCAATTGATTTGGTAAAATCTGTAAATAGAAACTTCAATAAATATAAATTCAACTTTTTATGCAAAGCACGGTTGCTAAAGGATTCTGTATTATGCTCAAGTCATGCAAGAATGTTAGAGAAATGTAGTTACAAAAAAAAAAAACTTTAGCTTCAATAAATAAATTACTTTATTCAGCCTAAGTTTGGGACAAAAAAAAATTTTTGACAAAAGGTAAACATTCTCTTTTTGTTATTTTCTGATGCCTATAGCATCAAGGGGGACAGTAGATTGACATTCATTCCAAAGGCTCTTTAACTGCACTAAGAAGCGTGGACCCTTATGTTTGCTTGCATTGCATAAACATTTTCAGCATTCATATGAACATTTTCTAGTTGTGCACTTTTTCTTTTCAGCTTTTTGAAGGACGTTGCAATAAACTTCTATACACAAGTAAATAAGCCCTCAACATGGCTCATTGAATAACTTTGGTTTTATGACGTGTTGTGCATATTTTTGTTAGTGTTAACTTGTGGGAATATTTTAAAACGCGATAGCGTTAAAGAGCCTATTTTACGGAAATTCCGACGTCGTTGGTTGTGAGCGAAAAGTCATCTTATGTAGAACCGAAAAATCAAGAACAAGGCAGAGTGGGGACCGAGCCAGGGTCGTTGAGGTTCGAATGTGGATAAAACCCGGGTAATTGGTGTGCTAAGCGGATGTTCTACCACACGGCCACGTTGTTGCTTGTGAATACAGTGAAAAGAACTTTCTTTGCTTGGAAATTCAGTGAAAGTAGCTTTCATGCTTCATATACACATCCTATATACATGCTTTACTATGCAACATGAAATATTGCAGTAATAATGCATGGCACAAACACCCATTTGCAGCGGCTGTCACAACCTGTCATTAATTTAATGGCCTCGGGGTTTTAACCTGATCACCCACTACAGAAGGGACACACACTACTGAGCCTATTCGCTTAGGGCGACATATAGTGGGTGCATAGCAAGTTCACATTGGTTTCATCCACTAAAAGTACGCACTAAGAATAAAAAATTCTGGCTACGAGTGAGAATAGAACCCAGGCAGTATGCGTAGCACGCAAATGTTCTATTACTCGTTCACGTCTCTGCTTTAAAACACGAATAACTTCCTCTGCTCTAAAAAGCCGCCTTTTATGCATGCAACCCACTACACAGAACTTGCTAAAAATTTCAACCCTTGATTCACAAAGTCTGTTGTACAGTTAGGGGGACCTGTGGGAATGATTGTTACGGTTACTAGCAGATTGTTTCACCAGCACCTGAAGATCTGGTTTAAGGTGGAAGAAAATGCCAAGGGCTCTGCATTTTTCTTTTAGCAATTATATTTATTGGCATTATATATTGTTACGTTTGGAAGAGACCGGTAAAGGCTGAAATGGGCCGTTTATTAGGTCGTGAGGGGCAGCTCAGAAGCGGCCAACTGGTTAGAGATCTTCCTGATCCTTTTCTTCTTTTCTCGCTCCGGGCGACTAGTCCGTTCACCGTATACGCTTCATAGTCTTCGTACATGTGCGCAACGTTCCTCTCTACGCAGACGAAGGCCGCCGAACGAGTTGGTCGAGTTGTCGTCACGTGTACGGTTCAAGCGGGCATTATGAATCACTTGAGTTTTGGCAGCTCGTCGACCACTCGTCGTGAGACGACCTATTACATAGTTGACCTCAAGTCTGTCGACAATTACAGAAGGTTCATCGTAAGTGGCCAAAAACTTTTGGCATAATTTGCGCTTGCACGTCGAAGTCCACAACTACACCAGATCACCACGGCGATGAATCACTGGTCGATGGTGAATGTCATAGCGTGCTTTCGCTTTGTCTTGCGATGCCAATGTGTGTAGTCGAGCTATGCGACGCGCCTCTTTGGCGAGGCAGAAAGTCTTGGCGACAGTGACACTGTTGTGATCACAGAAAGGTAAGATTGTGTCGATTGTGCGTCGGGGCAAACATGCATAAAGCAAAAAGAAAGGGCTATGACCTGTAATCTCATGCTTCGTGGTGTTAAACCCGTAAGTAATGAATGGGAGTACGTCATCCCAGTTCTTGTGGTCGCATGAGACATACATAGACAACACATTGATAATGGTGCGGTTGGTACGCACCATCAACCCATTAGTTTAGGGGTGGTATGGTGTCGAGTGACACAGGCGGGATTCACACAAACGGACTAGCTCCTTCATGACATCTGCTGTGACATGTTGTCCATGATCGCTGATAATCAGGCGAGGTGGGCCGTGTCGGAGGATGATGTACTGTAGCAAAAAGGACGAGACTTCAGCGGCAGTTGCGGAGGGGACGGCTGCCATCTCGCAGTAGCGTGTGTGGTAGTCGACGCAAACAATTATCCATCGGTTGCCCTTAGCCGATTTTGGAAAGGGACCCAGAAAGTCAATCCCCACTTGTTCGAAAGGTGCTCTTGGAGTTGGCATCGGCTGCAGAAAACCAGCTGGACCAGTTGATGGACGTTTGTGACGCTGACATTGCATGCAGCTTGCCACATAACTCTCAACGGACTTCTGCATACCAGGCCAATAAAAGCGCTTTTTAGTCCGGTGAAGCGTCCGCACCAAACCTAAATGTCCAGATGTAGGGTCGTCGTGCATGACACTCGTAACTGTTCGCAGGCTCTCTGGGACCACTAAAAGGTAACGCGCGCCACTGCTCGAGAAGTTCCTTTTGAACAACAGTCCATCACGCATACAGAAACGGCGTGCAATAGTGGAAGCGGATGCATCGGCGAATAGTGGTGCTAGTTTAGCATCTTTCCACTGTTCTGCTCTGAAACTGGGATAGTCCGGGAACGTAGGCGAAACAGACGCTACAAGCTGGTCAAGGTCATCGGATTCACAATCTGTTGTGCTAAGTGGCATACGTGAAAGACAGTCCGCGTCAGCATGTCGACGACCACTCTTGTAAGCGACGGTAAAACTGTATTCTTGTAGCCGGAGTGCCCAGCGTGCAAGGCGGCCACAAGGGTCACGAAGGTTGACAAGCCAACACAACGAGTGGTGGTCGGTTACGACTGTGAATGGGCATCCATACAGGTAAGACCTAAACCGCTGAATTGCAAATAATACCGCCAGGCATTCTTGTTCCGTAACAGTGTAGTTTTGTTCTGGCCTGCTTAGGGAGCGACTT